ATTTCCAGCTGACTGCGGATAAAAATATTTGAGCTATTCTCTTCGCTGTACTGTAAGGAAAACAAATTTACTACATTTCAAAAATTTAGAATATCCTCTCTTCACCTGTTTCAAGTTTTTGACACATTTTGGATTTTTTATCTTATTCATATGAAGATAACAGAGATAAGTTTTGCACTGAGGTCATTCTTTTTTCAACACAACCAATTTCGTGTGAAAGTTATTTGTTGCAAAAAGGTAAACTAAATAAGAAACTAACTTTATAACGAAATGATATCTACACAATTTTAACTATAAAAATTGGCCATAAGGTCACTGAATGGTTGCAGTATTAGTTTTCAGATAGCAAACTATCATTCAACAAACATATCTTTTATGGGTAGTATTCATCAAGAACTGACTTCAGTTGGGGAACCATTGGAAACCTGGAAGCAATGGATAGCAGTACTCGGGGTTGTGGCTGAGTACTGCTGAGGAGTCCGGTAATGGACGAAACAGCTGTTTAGTGCTGCCAGGTTTTCAATGGTTCCCCAAATGATATCAGTCCTTGATGAATACTGCCTTCAAATTAAAACCCCATTCATCTAAAAAAAACATTTTTTTGTCCAGCATAATCAGTCAATGAGTAAGTTTCGACTACTGAATTCAAATTTGCCAAGTAAATCATTTAACTTAACCGCCAAACCGCTGCCGTTCAGCTAAATTTAGCGGATAATAATTACTGGTGAATCTCTGTCTTCGAACTCACAATCGGTAGGTGAATGCTGGTAAAATGGGAATCAGTTTTCTTCAGATCAAGCATACTAAACATTTCGTGTAAAATAGGGTCAGGGTAAATGAATTGAAGGTGTATTTCATCAGAGCAGTCTAAAAATAATACTGAATTCCAATGTCAAGCTTTTCAAATTAGTAATGTTCATTTAGTCAGTCTGAAAGTATTCAGAGTCAGAATACTAAAATATATGTAATAATTATCAAAAATAATCTTGCTGCTCTTTAAAATCATTTCATTTACTACATTCTTCTAAAACCATACTCCGGAACTGCAAGTATGTACTGACTGAATCAATGTTACTGAAAAGAAATACGTTACATTATAAAGCAGGGTCAGTGATTTTATCGATCTGTTTAGTTACTTAGATTGATGAGTAAGATTGTATTGCTGAAATAGCTGCAGGTCTATTGAAATGAAAATATTATCGATCTAAACAGTAAGTGAATTCAGTAGTGAAATGGTTATACGTTTATTTTCACCAATTCATTTTATTCTCGAGTAACAGTAATGAAATAGTATACCATTTCCAAGTATTGAAAGTTGAATACACAACTAAGTACAGAACACTAGTTATCATTTAGACTGGTAAATTATGTTGAACCGTTAGGCGATGTCAAAGTGGTATGAAACCAGTACAGTTTACCAAAAGAATAAACCGGTGATATAAAACGTTTCACATGTAAAATTTAGGGTTCAAATTTGTGAACATCTACCCAGATGAATTATGTCTAAAATGCTGTAACGCTACTTTTTAAATAGATTTTAAACCCGAAGGACAGCTGTTGTTATAGCAACACACAACAAAAATAAATAAAATCTCACGTAATGACGGCGGTCGGAATTGCGTGGCGATCCCACATTTATGATAAGATAACAATTTCCTGTTAAACTCGTATTTTAAATCAATAAGTAGAAAAAAAACTTTAGAAGTTGTTAATTGATATTCCGCTGAATGTACGACTGACAACACTACACTATCTGTATTAATTTAAACAATTGTTATTACTCATCATCTCTTCTGCACTCAACAAATGTTACACGTGAGACTTGATAGTTTGAGTTTGCTCTAACATCTACAGACTAAGGTTTCGTAGTTCTATGTCACCTGTATTGCCTTACAAGCATATACAGCTGCAACATGAGTAGAATGTCACCTTCCACCTTTTTCTCATACATATTCAGTGAAGTATGGTTTGAATTACAACTTTCGTATATTACTACCATCACATTCAATTTTACAGTAAGTAATTGTTAACCATCTTTGAGAAAGAGTGATTGTGCAAAAGAGATTGGGTGAAAAGATTATTTGTACGATTTACAATTTATTGATGCTCTTTGATATTCTAATTTCTTTATCACTCAGACTCACAAGTGATAGCTGGAAGTAACTTAAGCAAATAAAACTAATATCTACTACGTGCTTTTCACTTGTTGTTAAATATTGTTGTATAATTCTTTAAAGCTTGACAAAGTTCAGGCTCAACAAAAAGCAGCTTTTGGTCAAGTGCAAATCATTTTCGTAGCAAATTTTATCTTACTGAAAAACCTGTGATACAGTAAGACTGTATGCCACTGAGCAGTTAAGATTTACATCTTCCTAAGTTAGGATTTTTGGTTAACACTTTCCTCTAGCTAACTCAATATCTATCCCTAAATATTGAAGTTTGCTGCGAATTCAAGTGAGTGAACCTGCAAGAAGTTCTTATTAAAGCCATTCTTGTTTTGAATATTGATTTATTTAGTTGGTGTAACCTTATAGTTTTCCATAAATTAGAAAATTAATTCCTGTCAAAGAAGTCCGCAATTGAAATGCTCTGTATCGTTTACGTTAGCATCATAAGTAACTCGATAACTTAAAAGCACTAAGAAGAACTAATAAACTTGTCGAGTGTTGAATCCATTCGGCGAAAATGCAATTTTATACCAGTTGCATTCAATCAAATGAAAGTGTACATTTCAGACAAATAGTGTATTATGTAATAAAGTATACACTGTTAGACTGCGATAATCCCATAGTAACATCGTCCTACTAAACTTTTCTTTAGGACTATTGAACTGATATCAAATTCATGTATGACCAACTGAGTCATGACATCGTTTAAAGCGTTATCACCTGTTGGTTGATAACTCCATTTTTGCATACCGATTAAAGAAAACGGACAAAAACTTAATAGCATCATTTATTCATCTATGTGATAAAGTTGTTACTTATACTTTTAAAAATGATAAGTGAGGAATTATTGATTACAGTTTAAAACAAGCAGTCGATGTTGCATGGCTTCTCACAGATCATCTCACTTCCTGATCATCCAGCTGGTATTTATCACCTAAAATGTCAGAGGAAATTGCATCTAATACGGCTAAGACGTGTATACAATCTCAGTTGTAAATCCAATGAGCTGAAAAACGATTACAAATCATTCTTGCAGACTTATTTGTGTGTGGCAGATAAGATGAGTTTCAGCATTTTCTAGATAATTGTTAGACTAGAAAATTGAGATTGGTGGAACTTCCACTAAGAGTGTAGACGTAGCCATTATAAATCATTAGATTTGTTAGTGAATCAAACACTTTAAAGGTAGCTATAAATTATATCGCAAAGAAATAAATGTATCATTTTCACAGTTATACTGATTCATCAGTTTGATAAAAAATAGCCTATTTTCATGGTTCGTTGTGAGTAAAAGCGTGTAATGAAAACTAACCACTTTGATAACTTTATTTTTGCAATTTATAACATCTCAGCTTGAATACAATTCCTCTTGCTTAAATACATACTTGCCGCTTTTTCTCAAAGCTTCCACCTGAAACGCCAAGCTATATCAATATTCTGTTGACAGGTTTGCGAACACACTATTTCTGAAGATAGCGAACTCCCCTGAAAAAGCATAACTGAAGCAAAATGGTGACAGATGAAGTATTACAGCTTTGGATTTAGTCGACGAATTATAGTATTCTGTTGAAACTACATAACAATTGATAAGGTTATAAAGAAAAAGTAAGCTTTACCTACATGAGATTAAATGTCAACTGAAAATGGTAAGAAATGAATGTTTAACACGACAGTCACCTCAGCAAATGCCAAAAATCTAAGTCTAGATAACATTCTTAGTTGTCTTGGAATTTTTAAAGTCTCAAGCATTCAAATCCATTTGGCAACTGAGAAGTTACAATTTTCATTGCTTACAAGACTAGATATTTTTAACGTTGCAATAAATAAATAAGTACAGGAAATATATCGAGTTAATTTGAGTCAAAAGGAACACTTACTATCAGAGGTAAATTTCGGTTATCTTCCGGCACAGTGACAGAGTTAAATAGTTTTGGAAAAAAATGGTGAATACTAACAAGTACTTAGAACTTTGAAATTTGGATAAAAAATGAAACGTACCCCTAGATTAATCGAATTCAGCTGATACAACTTGAAGAATATATGAATACAGTCTGATGAATGTAACTCAAGGAAACTCTTTTATCAAAGACATGAAAACGAAATATCATTACAAGGAGCCTGTAAAGTCTTAGATGCTGATATGTATATCTAAGGTTGTTCAGATAAAAAATATCATTGTACAACAACTTTAAACGCCGTATAATCTGAAATATGAAGGTAAAAGTGACTATACGAAGTATTTTTCCACAAACAGCTTCAAGTTTCAGATTTGAATATAAAGAGCTTCTACTATATCGCTATGTAGAAGGAATCGCTTGAAGTAACTTAGCTTTATTTGTGGATGAATTTTTTACAGGTGTTGAGTAACCAAAAGATATAATAAACAGCATTCTACTCGTTTTTTATTCTAAGCGGAAAGTGCTGATCAGGTCATTTTGACACTTTATCATGAGCACCATCTGCATTAGAACCACTTGTGCATAGTTATTTGAATAAGCACATTGACTTTTTCTCTACCGAAAGTATGGTAGCATGCATATCTTGTGAAACTGTAGACAAAATCTGTCATATTTATGGCACGAACAGTTCACTCTGAAGGAATAAAATAGTTCAAAAGAAATTGAAACAGTGGTAGATAGTGTGCAGTCTATGAATTATTTAAAAAGTAAACAAGATAGGTTTATTCTCCTGCTTATTACTGTTATAATACCTCCCTCTCAATTCAATACAACTGTCATCTAGTAGGTAACGATAATCACAGCCATATAAGTTGTAAGGATTTCTCTAAATGACAGTGAAGAAACCTATGAAAGAAAAATATAAATATCTTACCTCAATAGTTCGAAGAGGCAGCCCATAAGTTTCGGTAGACATTTGTAATTGGAATAGTAGAGATTTTTCAGATTGATAGAATGATTTTTTTCATCTTGTGAATACTCGATGGACTTAAGTCTGCCATTTTCGAGGCAAAATTTTACGGAGTGCTTTTCATACTCAGATGATCCTTCAGTTGGGGAAAATTCTTCTACTGAATACATCTGAAGCAAAAGAATGTTAAGATTAGGATTTCGTTCTACTAATGGCAAGGATCCTAGAAGTAATACACAAATATCTCTCAAAATTACAGTAATCTTAACAACCATTCATGTATACATCTTCTGTCTTGATTTCATTACTTGCTAAAAACAATTTGTGACACTGATTAAGACGCCAATGTATAAAGTGCTCTGAAAGTGATTTCCAGAGTGAAGTTTAATCGTCTACAAGCTACAACTCGAGTTCAATACTGATAAATCTATTTGAATACCTATAATATGAATTGTGCATGACTGTCACGAAACCAAAGCAGCAGAATCTTAGGCAAAAGTTTAAAGGTAAAAGTCGGTGAATTTGATGGACTAAATTTGAAGGCGACACGATATTGCAAGTTTCAAGCTATGCGAAGTTTAAATTTCTCCAAATCAGTGTTATGTTCTGTGGAAAAGTTTAGGAATAAAAACGGAAGTAGATTTCAGTAGTTTATGGAACGGTTTTAATAAGAATTGTGAAAAATAATCCAATCCATCATATTAACATGCAAGTTGTGAATATATTTAAGGTAAAATCTGTAGGATTGTATAAAACATTTGTAAATATTAAGTGGTTTTGTTTCAGTAGGTAGTTCCATTAACACCGGTTTAGCGTTTCATGTGTAGAAACTTTCTTAACTAGTTTCTTGTTTTCGTTGTCACTGTCCCAATATGAATTTCAGATTTCATTTGTACGAGGATTTGGTCAAAACTATATCACACATTTTGATCTCTCAGTTTCATAAAAAAGTAACTATTAATTTTCAGTTGGTGTTTACTATAAGCTGCTTTCAAAAAAGTCACAGAAAATTCGGTTCACAGCACATCGGGTGAATTATTATTATGGTAATCAATCCTACAACCTCGTCTGGTTAACTAGTTCACTAGTTACTAGCCGGTCCTAAGCCCGGGTAAAGAGGGAAGGTTGGGCATAAAGCTACCAACCCTACCCTGGAAAACCAATCCCACCGCTAATGAAACCTCAAAGCACAGACAAAATATAAAACATAAAAACAAACTTATTCCTCCCTGAAATCGGAGAGACGAAATGACGCCAGTTGGTGAAAGCCTTCGGGAAGCCAATTGGCCGATGTATCTTCTCTCGATTAAAGCGAAAGTAAGGATGGAGATATGAAATATCCGCAAGATGTATGAACCAACCAAGGCTGTCGAGATTAAAAAAGAGATGAGGAGGTATGGCATGGAAGTGTCTGGAATACGCGAAAGCAGATGAAATAAAAGTGGACTTTCGAAACTGTCAACTGCAGAGTCACCAATACAACAACCCCGAGCACACTGAGTTATCAAGTGGCTATCATGATATCTCCAAGAACAACAAAGGCTTTCAGCAATGGGAACCAATCTCCTCCACGATCAGGATCATGACAGCAAGATTAAACTCAGAAGGTAGGAAAGTCACGATCATTCAATGCTATGCACCAACAAATAATGCAGAGGAAGGAAGAAGGAGGAATTCTACAGACAACTGCAATCAGCACTGGACAAGATCCTACATCAGTTGGCGACATCAAAATTCTGAAGGGTGGGGTGACGCGAATGCCGAACTGGGAGTGGATAACACAGGAAGAGAACTAACCATGGGTCGAGAAGCACTCTGCGAAATGATGAATGAGAATGGAGAATTGTTTGCAGAATTTTGTGCATTCAACGATTTGGTGAATGCAGTCAGACAGTGTGTACAATCACAAGGATATTCACAAGGCAGAGACATGGATTTCACTAGACACCAGGATACACTAAACATCAGATCGACTTCATCTCAATGTGAAGAAAGTGGAGACGCAGCCAGCCCAATCGACACAAGATCAGATCAAGAAGAGAGAGGAGCAGATGTAGGTTCACACCACTCAATATGTTGTGCAAGGAACCTGTCTTCAAGGGAGTTGGTGATAGACGACCGCAGTTCAAGTTGAACACCAAGAACACAAACTGAACTGAAAGAAGAAACTACAAAAGAAATTTAAACGTCAGTCAGTCATCACGAAAAAGTAGATATCGAGGAACATCCTTGAAGAAACCTGTGGGGATGAACACTGAAACTCTTTGAAAGCTGTGTGTAAACAAACCTGTATAACCGCATAAGGAAGGAAGAGGGAACAAGACAAGGAATGGATCTCGATGGACACATGGAAGCTGATAGAGCAGGGAGAGGAAGATGGTGATGGTGAAGCAGAAGATGAACCAGTGCAAGGATGCACAATGAGAAGAGGAACTGAGTACGATGTGTAAAACACTGGAGAGTTAAATGAAGAAGAGTGCGCGCAACGACAAAAGACACGTCTACGAAACACTGGCAAGTGAAGCAGAACAGGCTGCTGGCTGGTAGGAGAGACCTGACAACATTTTATCAAATAACCAGGTCACTTTCTGTCTGGAAAGCGATCAACACAGATGAAACCAATAACAGATGATAACGGAAATTTAATTACGAAAGAAGAGAAACAAAGCAAACGATCGGTTGTCCGCTTCATAAAACTCTTGGATCGACCACCACCTTCACTTCGTCCAGAAACACCACCTGCAGACCAGCATCAGAACTACAAGTGAACACAGATCCTCCAACAAAAGTGAAAGTCCTGAACGACAAAAAGCTACTGAAATGCGGCAAAGCAGCAGGACCAGATGGAATCCCGTCAGAAGCACTGAGAGCGGTCGCAGGGACAACAGCAGACATGCTCACACCCTATTGCAGAGGGTGTGGATGGAAGCAAGGAAAGGTACCTGACGACTGGAAAGAAGGCTACCTTGTCAAACTCCCAAAGAGGAGCGACACAAGACTTGTCAAGAACTGTCGAGGAATCATTCTCGTGTCCACCAAAAGCAAAATATTTTGCCGCATCATCCTGAAGAGACTAAAGGATGCGATGGATTCAAAACTACCACCCGAACAGATTGGCTGTGTTCAGGAAGAACAAATCATCTGAGGATCAAATTGCAACTCAACACTACGCTACACATCATCATAGAACAGAGTATAGAATGACAGTCAACTCTATACCTCAACTTCATCGACTTTAAGAAGGCCTTGGAGAGCGTCAACCGACAAGTATTTAGGCAGTTGCTTCAACATTTCGGAGTGCCACAAATCGTTATCAACCTCATTCTACACCTATATGCTATATGATGCTACATGCCGAGTGATTCACAATGGAAAGCTGAGTGACGACTTTGAAGTGAAGACAGGAGACAGGAGTAAGACAAGGCTGACACCAACTATCACCGATGATCTTCCTGATTGTGGTCGACCAGGCTGGATCATGCAGCAAACTGTGAGAAGTGAGAAGATGCGTATACTCTGGTTGGACCGATGAAAAGACCCCAGAAGAAGATTTGGATGTCGCCAATGACTTGTGTCCAATGTCGCACAAACTGGAAGACCTACAGGCGAAAACCAACAAGTTGACAGAAGAGGCGAGGCAGCGAAGACAGGACTTCAAGTGAGTGTACAGAAGACGGAGGTGATGAAGATACCCAAAGAGCAACAGCATGAACAAGAAGCACCGATCACCATCAAAGGGAGAAATAATCCAAAGGAAGTGGTCTCTTTCACCTTCCTGCCCAGGTAGCATCGTTTCAACTACAGGTGGCTTAGACGAGGATGTCAAAACCAGGATCGGAAAGAGAGCAATATAGGCTTTATTAATCTGAAATAATCAGTGTGGAAATCTACTGCCACTCCACTCAACACAAAGAACAAGATCCAGATTTTCAACACCAAAGTCAAGTCAGTGTTGCTATATGGTACAGAAACTTGGTGCATCACGAAAAGCACCTCCAACAAACTACAAACATTCATCAACAGCTACCCCCCAACGCCCACGCTCACTCGATACTGACACTGAAGATAAGATGGTCAGAATAATGACAATAAGCAACAAGAAACTCTGGCTGGCTGGCTGGCAACGAACTAACCAAAAACCTATCACCAACAAATATGCAGAAGAAATTGGAGATGCATCAGATTGGACACACACTGGAAGACCGTCTGGGACATCACGCACCAGGTCAGGCTCTCCAGTGGGACCGGAATGGGGAACGACGAGTTGGGTGTCTGAGGGTGACACAGAGGAGATCGCGTGAGGAAGGAATTAAAGCTTGTGGGCAGTCGTGGAGCCAGATTCAAAAGAGTGCAGAGGACAGGGTGAAATGGCATCATGCTACTGAATTCCTATGTTCCACTAGGAACCCATAGGAAAAATAATAATAATAAAGTAATCAATCGTACAGTAACCTCAGTTGCTTCATGAATCAAACTAGTTATGTTTATCTTAAGAAACTGAGTTAAAATTTCAGAGTTAGTTTCTTCGCTGGGTTTTACAGGCTGACAACTAAATGTAAATAACTACAAGGAACTAGATAGTTCCCTCCATAAAAAAATTCAAAATATCTCTTTGACTTTTCATTAATGCAGTAAATGCTTACCTGGAAGCTATTCCGACTTACCTAATTGGTGAAATCATTATCATTTGTGTAACATAAATGAGGCTGATGACACTTATCACTTCAACATATTATCAGTCACGCTCTTGGCATTTTTTATGCTGTGGAACGTCACAATGATTGCCAAACTCATAAATGATTAGCAATATGACTTCTGAGATTCTTGTTGAGCCTGTACCACCTAGATGTTTGGATTGAATTTCAGCAATTGTTTTCGCTTATAAAATCAAGCAGTTTCCGATATACATGGATGGATCACTGAGTGTATCCAATTTCATACTGCATAACCCTGAACGCTGACGGAAATTAGTAATGCAATGCGGCCACTAACATAGGAGACTGAGCATCAGGTGGAGTTTAGATACATATAAGTTGGTTTAAGGCAACTGATAGGAAACCTCAGACAAAGGTTTCATGCTTCTTGAGACTCATCAGAAAGGTATATCTGGGGTCACAAGTAAATTGATATCCTGTCACAGGTCCGAACCCACATCACCGAGTACTACAGTTAGAGGCTGCCACAGAACTGTTCCAGCTTCCTGTAGGACATGATTCATTACACTAACTGGCCACTAGAAATCAACTGATTTCATACTGTTTTTAGTGTAATTTTAATGTCAAAAACTATGGTTCCATGTTGCTTCACTAGAAATAATCTTGTATCTCAATATAGTCTATGAATCTGCGAAAGGTGAGCTGTCAAAAGTATCTTGGTTTTTAGTTATGTGCCTAATAACTAACCTAGCAGTAAGAGACATTCACATTGTGACTTCCAGACTATAGAAAACTGAAAAACATCTAACGGAATCCCTGAAAAAGAAAAAACAAAAGGGTTTCAAATCATAAGCACCCTTAAAACTCTCAAACCTACTAGAACTGTTACACTTAGACGTTTTAGTATGCCAGTACTGCACAAAAACCGATTGCCTCTCCGACCAGTTCCCATCATGGTTAAATCTCCGTATCATGCAACCCCAAAATGGTTAGTACAACTCTTGGAGCCTCTCTCTACAAACAAGCTTTAAAATAAAGTCTCAAAGATACCTTTGAATTTGTTTAAAAGAATGAGGATCTGAAAGTAGATAAGTTAATGATGTCGTCTGATGTTTCATCTGTTTTTACCAACGTCCCTCTAATGGAGACAATAAACTTTATCAGTTCAACTGCTCCTGCAGAGCTAGCTACATTGGGCGTACAATGAGACAGACACACGTCGAGTTTCTGAGCACCATCTTTCATGGTTGAGCAAGGGACAAATTAGAATAATAAAGACCTCCACACTTGCACACCTAGTTGACACGGGACATCAAGTGGATACTAGAAAAGCTTTCAAAATCATTCATCAGATTCAAATTAATTTGCCACAGGGATTAGGCAGTCGTTTACTTCATATAGCAGAGGCGATTGCAATCCACATTTGCCAACCTGGCCTTTGTATTGAAAAGAAGTCTGTTCGACCATTTTCATTACCGTAGTCGTCAACATCATGCAACTTCTAGTGCTGCCTTGTATACCTTTTTCCCCACTTGTTTCTATCAATATTCATTTGTTTTCTTATTATTATGTAATAATTTATTGTTTATGACTGAACATTCATCAAAAATCTCTTCATTTACCTGAGAAGAACCTCCTTCATTTTCCCAATTTTAATTACTCTACTGATTATTTACATCTTAATTCCTAAAACATCATCTTCATGACTTACTTAAAATCTATAAATATTGTTCACCAACCCTCACCACTTGACTGGTATCTTGACTGATTTGTAAAACTATATATTATTGTAGAACCCAAACGAAGACCTAATTGAAAAGGAATATATCTCTTCGCTCATTCAGTCGTTTTCTAGACTTCTTAATGTGAATATTCGATGTACTTTTGAATTAACATAACCTTACAAATCAACAGCAGAAAAAATTACTGTTGACCACGATTCAGGGAATGAATTTTGATCAAAATTTGTTTCTCTGAATACTTTATGCTGTAAACAGATGAAATGAAATCGATGAAATCCAAAAAACATTTTTTAATTCACCACGAGAGCGTTGTTATCACCGTCCTCAAATCCAGTAGTGCCAATAGAATTGTCAAATATACTGAAGAATAAAAAGTCGTCCTAATTTTACTTATTAAGATATTACTGCGAAATATGGTATTTATAATGTATAATAAAACTGAATGAAACACCGCTTGATGACGTACCTTTAATCTCATGTCGCACTCCGGTCCACTGACAATCTTTGCAAATCCTTTTATCATGCGAGAATGATTACTATCCTTATTGTTCTCACTAGTCTCATTGTCTGACGAATGCGTTTCGCTGAATCCGTGTACAACTTCCCACCTGTATATGTATTGATAACCAACTTTGAAGTCGAATATACCAATTCCTTTTGTGTATAACCCTTAACCAGAAAGAATAATGATGGAAACTATAATCAGAAATAACAACAGACAATCAGAATGATTTTCTCTACTAATATTAACATCGATGAAAATTATCCATTCGATTCAAGTTCCACTAAATTACTTAAGTAATAGTTCAATCCTTAAATTTCACTAGTCTAGTAGTGGATTATTGGCGGAACGGTATTGACTATGGGACACAGAATGATACTGAAGGCTTTCCTTAGAAAAATTCAGGTTTTTAAAGTATGTAATACAATTCTTTCAGTCGAATAGAATGTTGACTGACTAATTAGCTGAAATGATACAACGCACCTAACAACTGACTCACCATGCGACTCAAACTAATCGAACGTTAAACTGCAGCAAAAATTAGGACCGCAAAATCTTACAGTCTGACTCTCAGCTTACTTTTATGCATAAGTCAGGAGAATACAGACACATCAAATAACAGTAAACAGTAATCTGCGAGGACAGATAACCAAGCTTTGGTAAGTGATCAGTGGGTATAAGTCTGCTTCTCTGCTCATTGTAACACAAAATACCCATAAATCTAGGTACGCAATTTCAATTCTATGAACTTTCGCTTTAAAACCGGCCACTTAGAAAGTAGACTTTGAAGCAGTAGCTTTGTCATCAGTGAGTAGACAAAATTTGACTTCTTCACAATTGATTTTGATGTGAAACCAGAGAGAGTTATTCAGTCTCATTTTCTCATTCACTATAACATTTCTGTGACTATGATAATAATTAGGATAGTGATAATAATGAGGTCATAGGCTGTCTTTGCAAAGAACTAATCCAAGCAAATCAGATTTCATAGATAACACATCTGAATCACGACTTCACCTTTGCCCGCTGCGTATGTAATCGCTTCCGGTGTTGTATGATTCAACTATTCTAGTAAATTAGGCAACGGGTAATTGATGCATTCTTTTACCTTTTTTTTCCAGTATGCAATAAACAGTATTTTTCAGGGAAGTTTATCTATACATGGTTGAATCGCTAAATTTTAGCCTTTACAGCTGTATTGACAAGAACACTTTTATTGAAACGAATGCTAAGTACACACAACTCGCTACCAGAAGTGACCCTCTAATGAATAAAACTTCCAGTATCAGCAGACAGAGTTACTGCAGTTTCTCTTCATAATAATATAGCAGAAAATTCAATCGTGACCCTGTGCTTAAATAGCTTTGGTACTTAAAATGTCTTTATCTCTGTAGTCAGTTTGATTACATAATTTTTAAGGTATGTTTTTTAAAAACACAAAGCTTGATATTTTTTCAACCCATTTTGTTTTGTTACCTCTCAAAGACGTGTGCAAATGAATTACCAAAATATCTATATTCACTGGCTCGACACCCTTTACTTGAAACGTTTCAACATACACAAACATTATTCATGAGTTTCGCTAAAAATGTGAGGAATTCCCTGATGAAAGTAAACTTGCCCAGCTCACTGACACATTTTGGATTGATTTCGAATACTTTCATGAGGTAATAAAGGACTGGATCGAGAACGACCACTTTTTTCCGTCGTATACTAAATGCTACACTGACCGAAAAACAGTTAAAGTGAACTTCAACTTTACCAAATTAAATTTCTGGCAAAAACTACGGGAATTGAATATGCATTTCACTAACATCAGTTCATCAAATTTTGCCATCGCAAAGTACTTGAAAGACATCGATCAACACATAAAAGTAAGTAACTTACTATATTAGTGTTTTGTCGGATAAAGTTCAACTACTGAAACATTTTCTCTGAGCACAAATTTTGAAGATATTTCTGATTGCTGCTAGTGCTTAGAAAAAAGAATTGTTTGTTCCAGTAACATTATGTAGATAACAGCTAGGTAATAAGACAGACAGTACACCTATACTACAGTTTCAACTGAACGGTGGTATTAGTCTTCTGTGTTCAAGACATTCACAAAAATCTCTCCAACTGTAGCTTTTTGTTCAACTTCTGGCGTTGCTTTTCCACAGCTATAGAGATTTGTTTCCCAACCTCGCCTAACTTCTTTTGTCTAATTCCAAATAAATCAGCTTGATTCATTAGTGTTTTTAAAAAATCAGCGTTCATTTATTAACTTTGATTTTTTTTACTGAGTTTTCATCGATATCTTTACTGAACGAGCAGACAGTAAATAAAGTCAAAGATCGATTTGACTTTGTAAAGTGTTCAATTGATGTTGTCAGTTCTTGGAGCTGAGGCGCTTGGACCATTCTTATCTGAAAAGTCAAATTTGCAAATTAGCACAGCTAAGTGATATCATATCTGGCCACTCATCTTATACACTTCTATATTTTGTGATCTCGTGACCTGAATATGACTAATTCATACTTGGCAGTAAATAGGCATTTGTCAGTCTTGCTGATAGTCTTAATGAATGTCAAATTCTAGGTATGATATATGAAGTAGATGACCATAAATAAGATTAACTTCTGTTTACTCTGTCGTGGTTTCAAAACCGACAGTAAGAAGTTACAGAATCAGAAGAAAGGAGAAGCTGAGACATTTGTCTGGCTTAAAGTTGTACCACGATAAATGATAACTTACTCTGTTTGTTACGTACTTCCTACTTAATGATTTCAACCATCATCGAATAATTTTAATGTCGTTAATTTACTTGGTTGCTTCGCCCAATGCAAACGTCGACATAATCATATTTATAAGACGAAAGTTTAATTTTTCATGATTGTCACAACATTTATTTAACTATTCTTTGAAGTCGGAAATATACTACAACTTTCACTACAAGAAAGCAATTTGTTAGGTCATATCCAAATAATTGTTCGTTTTCATATTCTGTGTAGAATCTGACTTTTGTCACTATCTTATTGCTAAGTGGCTGATAATTATGATAATCTCGGGTTTCCATAAATTCGTTAACATGATTCATAATATTCGAAAATATATTAGGTAAACAGGGTGATTATTACCCATGATATTAGTCAAAAGTTCACGAAAAAATTCTGCAATATTCCAAGGGTAACATATTAGGTACTTTTCAAATAAATATTGAACGGATTCCAACCGTTTATCATTTCATTTTATTTCTTTACTCCATTTATTTTACTGAAAAACTGAAGTGAATTCAGTCTCCCAGTCTTTTGATTTTCATCACTTTAAGTCTTTCTGGTTAAAATCACACTTTGAAGTTGTGGGAAATGTACTCTCAGTAAAAATTTTAAAAATGATACTCGAGGGCTTATGATATAACTTGGTTACGAAGGCCAATAAAGGCTGTGCTGCAGTTGTACAATAGACATCAATAAAATATAACTGCAATTAAAATTCTTCTTTGGTTTTTTGCACGGAAATTGAATTAAACTGCATGTTTTTCTGAATTTTTAATGAGAAAATAAAATGAACCATGTTATAAATTTACCTAGCATCTAGTATATCATAGAAACAGTTTTTTACTTTTGTAAGTCATATGAATTGGTTCTTACATGAAATATTAAGAAATGTATGCAAAATACCTACTGGATGTTAATACGCGTAAATACACCCAAGAATATGTTTTGTAGCACATTCTAGAAGTTATTGAACACCTATACCAGTGGAAAAGTGGTTGTTATTTTTATTTTTCATTACCAATGTTAGGCAGTAGTATAAATCAAGTACAGTCAGTTCAGTACACATCACATTCAGGAAGGCAGTATTATTCACATGACATGATGCGACACAATCACAAAGCTTAAAATGGTTTTACTGAAAAGCTAGACATATTCCGAAAGCATAACAAGTGTACAATCCTCCAAGTAACTGAGAATGCAGTAACCAAGTGGGTACTTGAATATCTGAAATTAGCAAAGCATACTATAAATGACTCTTTAAAGTTGGTTTTCATAAAATTATGCCGGAATTTAAAAGTTCTTAGTTGAGATTACACTACCTCAGTCCCTAAGTAAACAACAATTTGTGAAATCACTGCTAATCTCAGTCAATGCAGTCCTAATACAGACGTCAACAAGAAACACCACAGTCTGAATGTTCTGCAGTCATTAGAATTTCATAATGACTTACTAGCCTTCAAATGACTTGATGTTATTTAGCTTAAGGTTTATGGAGATTTCGTTTTTTCAAGATGTTCATCACTTGATGTTAAGTGAAGAATTTTTCATTAGGTTTTGAGTGTTAAAGCGCATGTGTAAAGAAAAAAAATAAAGGTATCAATTAAAGGAATTCTTTTTTTCTAAAAATATGACTCAGTAGCCTGCAAGACCATTACCTTGTCAGATAGTTTCACCAAGTTGGTGTTTGTGAAACTAAACAACCTATCTATTGTATCTGATTAAAATAACTACTAACTGTTTACATACACTATGAATGCTTCGAACGATGATTAGCTGTGAGTGGGACACGATCGATTTCAGATGTGAAGAGAAACTTGTAATATAATAAGGTATTTGGGTTTGATTAAATGATGAATCTGTGGAACAACTAAGAAGTTTTATTGTTTTGCACCATTCTCTTCGTGGTATGGTTTACAACTTTTCCGTATGTTTTGCACCCAATACTAATGCATTCAGCTTAAAAACTTAATAACTAATTGCTTCCATTTTTCAGGTGAACATTAGGTGGTATTCAAACGAAACTTTCAGAAAACTAATTAGTAATATCAACCCTCTTCTTAATAACTCAGTGGATGTATTTCTGCATAAATCTGAGGAGCTGTATAGAGATTCAATAAAAGGCATAAGTAAGTAACTACAAATGAGTAAAGAGTGTTTTAATCCTCACAGTGATTCATTCAATTCCGAAATGCATAACAGTTAGTCCCATTGCAATCATAATTCGATTTGTAGCTGAGAATTATATAAGCTTCAGTCAAAACATTGTACATATTTCTTAATCCATCATAGTTACATAGTTTCCTTCCTCTCAACTTAGTTACACATTTACCAATTCACAGGCGTATACTTCAAATGCTCTAGCTTCGTTGTAAAGCTTATAAGCAAAACGCTTAAATGCAGCATATTGCTCAAGAAATAAACAAATTATGATTAAAACAGATCCTACAGATGTTTTACGCATTTACAAATGTTAGTCCACACATTAATGTGATGTAATACTTCCTAAAATAAAAGGAATCACACTATCTGTTGCAAATACTGTAATTCTTCTTTCGTAAGCTGATCCAATGACGAATATGAAAATAATATCAGTATCAGTTGGATGTAAGCAGGACATTATTACCACTGAGATCAATCTGTTGATGTTTTAAATGTCTATTTGATTTTCATAGTAAACCGCGATTTTATTTTTCAGAAATGAAAAGTATTTTTGAAAGGAGAACCCAAATGATATGTATATATCACAGACTAAGAACAATATGAACAGTTGTTAAATTAAAAGTTCATTAAATTAGAGGCTTCCCTTGGGAAATTATCTAACGTAATGCAGACAGATGAAACTGATTTACATACTTCTGTAAATGTAAACTTCACGTTGTATTGATTAGTGTCAGCTATCAGTGGTACTGGACGTGAAACATGTTAAAAACTCTGAAACATTACTTTTCATCAATTGTAATATATAGAGCCTCTAATTTGTTTCCAATAATTACAAACTGTTTGCATACACTTGCGCTTTCAGATAATTTTGTGGTTATTTTTGTTTCTCTGTGAACCTTAATTTTGCTGGGTAAGACTCTATTTAAGCTTACTTGATGCTCCTGAAAGTTTACTATTCATTGCAACTCGTAGTAATCAAGCTGATGGAATACTGTCAGTTCCACTGAGCTTATAGCCTTTTTAACCAATTAGCCTCGCAAATCCAATACCCAATCTCCTCGCTAGTCAAAAGAATCTTAATATTCACGCATCCATCAGGTTTTTTATCCTAAATTTATCAAACTACTCGGTAAGAATACTTAGTAATGACACCAAGTCCTCTGACTTTGCCATTATCGTAAATTTTCAAGTATCTAGTCCTGACCAACAACTTCACTCTCAAATATCTTTTTATCCACAGTTTGTCAATCAAAAATGCAAACGACGATTAATATGAATCATATACATCGATGCACCGCTCTAAATATGTATAAGTAATTAGGCTTATCAATGCCTGTTTAAGCACTGTTCAGGATATGAATTTTATATTCTTGACTGAAACAAAATAACTGTAAGCTAAAAATGTGCATATTCATTCAAGTTAACACTAATTACATTCGAGTACTTAAGACTTGTAGCTAAAAATAGACGTTGCTAAATCTCTCATTCTACAAAGAGGTGATTAAAATAAATATGAAGTAGTGACAAATACCTGTAACTTAGGAAACATGTCCATTTATCTGGATTTGTACACTGAGTGAAAATTTCTAGAAATCAATACCAAAAGATGTAACAGTTATCATCTTCAAAGACGATGTGTGTGGAACATATGTGTCGACTAAAAACACATAAAATGAAATTTGGGTTCATATATTTTCATGCGTAAACTATAGTAAAGTTAAAATGAACGCAGTTAATTACAATGATGTTACAGATTGCCAATAAGTCCTACTTTGCATCTTCTTCAAGGTATGATTACTTTGAAATCCTTAAGACTTGTTTATATGTAGAAAGAAATCCGGATGCTTTTGCGATGTCAAGAAAAACTCACATTGGATACTATCGTATGTGAAGTCTGACAGTTTGCGATTAAAGATTATGCATGCAGTGATAGTTTCACTGGGTGAATTAAGATTGCATGTGACATAACTTGATAGAAGAATAATAACAATTTGTGGAAAATGAGATCCCCATCAAAATCTGCTTGCTAGAATGAGTAAAACGGAAGCTCATAGAGAAAAGATACACCTTGACTAAATTTGTGGTGACGGTCTAGATGATTAGAAAGGTATTAAGAGTGTTATAAAAGGATATCAGGAACTACCGGAGACAGTACAACCGGTATTTACAAGCGAGACCAATTTCTCAAGTCATATTCATAATATGTAGCTTTTTCTTGTTCCAGGAAGGATGGTGTTGAAAATATTTTTCTAAGTCTGCATAGCCAGTGCCCTGAATGCCAGGTGAGAATTTATAAAATTCTAACGTTTCGCCTTCAACTAGTAGTAGTAACAGTAGTAGCACCTATGTTAATAATCCAAAAAAACGTGTCATATTAACGTCATAAACTTGCATCTGACAACAGTATTATCCATTAGAGCCTTACTTGTTTACCTAACTTATCCAATCGAATTTTACAAGTTATATTTGAAACAGAAACCACTAAGAAATAAAAATAATTTCCAAGACGAAAAGCAAGCCTTTTATATCAACATACCTATCAAAAGACTTGCTTTTATCTGACATTATTTGAATACTGATTCGCCCATTACTTTTTTTGAACAAGTACAATCCCGAAAATAGATTACTGGTTATTTCAGGATTGAAAAGTATCCCAAAACTCAAAACTTGGAATCCCTTTGTAAGTTAACCAAAAAATCAATACATGAGAACTTCTTTCCGCCATAAAAATAAACCTTTCGCAGCAAAAAAACCAACTAACTTATGTGCACACCGCATAACATGTTATGTATATGTTTGAAATCAAAGGTAATATTGAAAAATAACTGTGTAACTAAGCAAAGAAGTTCCAAAAAGATTATTTACTAGTACAATACATCAAAAAAAACTAACCACTATGTATTTGTTAATGTTTGACGCGCATACCCTTCATAAATCACCATTTTCATGAAAAATGTGCGGCAAAATCGGAAAATATGCTCAATTTACTTCTTGTAAAATTTGTTATAAATTCTTTTTGACAAAAAGCAACCCTTTATAAACGAATATTTCCTTACTTCACATGAGATTTTCATGCCGCTAATTCACACAATACTATGGACAAATTGACCATCACTGAAAACCTGATGAAGAATGTTAACGTGAAGCATGAAGTTTCATTTCATGTTCACCCTGCGTTTTAAAAAATCTAAGTATGATAGAGCGCATTGTTGACACTCATTTTTTTAGCGAAAACATGAGATGCCGGAAAGCAACACTATGCTGAAATACCTAGAAGTCTTTTACAACGCAACTAAAGTTATCCAACATACGGCGACGATTAGCTTTATTGTTATTATTGTTTGTCCCTTGGGTTCCTAGTGGAACATAGGGATTCACTAACACGTCACCATTTCACCCTCTTCTCTAGAGTCTTTCGAACCTGGCTCCACGACTGCCCACGAGCTCTCATTTCTTCCTCGCACCATCTACTCCATCTCACCCTCAGCTAAGACGCACAATTCATCGTTTCCCATGTGGCTTCCAATCAAAGGCCTGTCTGACCTGGTGCGTGATGACCCCAGTCCCTCTTCTTAGTGTATGTCCAATCCTATCCATCTCCATTTTCTTCTACATATTTGTTGGGCGACAGATTCTTAGTTGTTTCGTTGCCAGACAAGAGTTTCTTGTTACTTATTTTTTTTATTCTGACCATCCATCTGATCTTCATTGTCAGTATCGAGTGAGCGTAGGTGGCAGCTCTTGATGTGGTGTATTTCCATGTTAGATTTGTTTATTTGATTTATAACAGACAGTGATCTACTATTATTTACTTGATGACGTTTCGAACCTAAATTTTCATTACTCATAATCATATCAATGTGACGTTGACAATTTATGCTCGAAACGTCATCAAGTAAATAATACTAGATAACTGTGTGTTATAAATCAAATAAACAAATCCAATATGGAATTAAATTCTATCACAGTGTCAAAGTTTTACACTTATATTGATGTGGTGTATGTTTGTAATTTGTTGGAGATGTTTTTCGTAACGCGCCAAGTCTCTCAACCATCACATGCAAGCACTGACTTGACTGAATTAGTGTTGAAGATCCAGATCTTGTTCTTTATGCTTATTGGAGTGCAGTTGATCTCCACACTGATTTCAGACTAATGAAGGCGTGTATTGTGGTGTTTCCGATCCTGGCTTTTTACGTCTTCATTTGTGCCGCCTGTAGTCGAAACTATGTTACTTTATTGCTAGGTTTATGAAAATCATCATTTCGATTAGGATAATCACACTTACACTAAGAAAAATGACTTTATGCATTCTGCATGAATAGGACTGATTTATTCACTAACGTAGTAAGGATATTCTACCATGAGGTTCATTGTTCAGTGCCAACGGCTACGTTCAAATTATGAATAACATACCACGAGAGCAAGGTAAGTGTAGTGTGTTTGGTTAAATAGCACTTTTCTCAAAGAATTCAGGTGAATGAGACAGTAGAAAATAGCTGTTACACAAAGGTAGAGTATTCAACCTCAATCTCATGTTTGTATAAATATGGAAGAATAGTTTCTCTCAAAAACATTTGGAAGAATTAGGTTTTTCCAGAGGGCTAGAACTAAACAGAGCTCAATAAAAAGTTAGCCCCCATATTTTTTTAACCGTATCACTTATTTATAGCAATAGATTTACCTCAACAATTGAACTCACGAATGAGAACTATCTGGACTCTAATTTGTAACAGCGTTAGTCACCACTGAATGGATGTACATACCAACCTAGCAGGCAATAAAATCTGATCCTAAACGTTTTAACTGAGTCTTCTTGCTCAGCTTTCAATAATGTAAAACCCTCACTTAGAACACCTTTCTTTTATTATCTCAAAATTCTTCAACCAATCCCTTTAGCAACATATCACGGCGGATATTTATCTTCAACTCAATGAAAGAATTCGTCTTTTTTGCCTATCAGACATCTGAGGCCACTATTCTACTAACAGAAGTTTTGGTAAAGTATTGTATTACTAAACGACGAAAAATAATCATGGCAGAACTTCTACGAATTCGCCTCTTATTTGTTACTGTTTAGTCAGCGGTTCGGCCAACTGTTTTACGCAAAGTGTTGGCATTATGTTATGCTTCGCTGAAGTAGACCTTGACAACAACTAATATATTGCATGTCCCAGTTTATAAATACACTAATCCCTGCATCACATTACAATGATTACCTACTGAGAGGTAATATACTACAACAAATGTTTTGATGAAAAATGTCTCGATATTTATCAATTCTATGAGCGAATGGTTTGTGTAAGCCAAGCATCAGTGATACAGATTTGCATGGAGTTGGCATAAAACAGATTAGTCGGCAAATTTTAATTGGCAAGTATGAAAATAACCATCGGTATCCTCCTCTAAAATTCATATTTGCAAATGATCTACTACTTTGAGATAATGAATATTAAGCTCTTTCACACATATATCACAGGCATAGTATGCTAAAATGTTAAACAGCTGAAGAAACTGCTGAATGTTGTCAAAAACACTTGACTTTAGTTTCCACTAGCTTAATGCAAGTGGTAATTGTTTAAGAATAATGAGCAGTAAAATACAGCATCTCTAAGTAAATCGCACTCTCAAGTGTGTACGAAAATTCATGTCTATGAGACCAGTAGAATTAGGAAGAGTCAAAAACCATGGGATTATATTGTAAATTGATTCGGAGTGAAATTTTCGACCGCTGGATTCAATCAAGTTCAGTGGCTGGATTGGTGTGCTTGTTCCAGGATTTTCGAACTACGGAAGAATTGTCAGTAATTGGTCCAACACTTTTGAAAGTCCTTTGAGTGGCATTTTTTAGTGGTGCAAGTTATATTCACACTATTCAGAAGCTGATAAAGAATCAAACTCAATGAATACAGTAACAGAAAAAGATTTTGATTGTTTAGCATAAACACTGCTTTTTGACATCTTGTTTTCTGCATCTTTATATGAAATGAATGCCTTTAATTTTATTCTCCAACTTTCGTTTTCGATTAGAATTAGGTTTTACAGGCTTTAATTTACTCTGGCACCATGTAATGAAAATCAGTGAATTTTGGTTAGAACTGCCAACATATATATATGATGATCACAACTCGAATACACTAGAAGATGACGAGAAAAATGCTACGAAATTAAAAAGTATAGCAAAATATTCAATGGCAGTGAATGAATATTTCAAATATGCTTTCAAAAATATTGTAAGTAATTGTTATGATTTTAAATAATACCAGTAATGTGTTTTCATTTCACTATTCAGTGTGATTTTACTTATAAATAACCCTGGCTGTGTAAGTAAATCAGTCATCTTAGAGTACAGTTAGATTGAAGATACAAAACAAATATAATCATTTAACTGTAAGTCACCCCCTAAGTGTATTCCAAAAATATTAGATTTATTACTAGTATACACTAACCTTTGTATCAGGTGAATGTGTTAGAATGACATACAACAGCATTTAAAATGCCTCATTATTATCTGAAACCTAATTAAGTGTAGGTCAATGATGAATATCATTGTGCCGTTGATTTTAGTTCCAACAGAAAGTTATCGATTTGAAGGTTTGTATGCATTTGTTTATTGCTTTCAAGTTGCTATTCATCATGAACTGAGATCAACTGGTGACAAATACCAAGCTGAAATCAAAAAATAAATCCCCACAAACATCCAAATTGAATTAATCTGACACTTACTGGTGACTAGCTTCTAAAGATGACTTCCGAATTTCCAGTGTAGGTCGTGACCGGTGGGGCAAACCTGGTGGACGTGAGGACAAATACTCAACGATGACATTTGGTGGTGGTGGCACTGTATCGTGAACTCACAGAAGTATGAAATATGGACCACTAGATTCCGATACATTGGGTCAATGGTAATGTGCTGACCCTAAACCCTAAAAGTCCCGGGTTCGATCACCGCTGGAGCGGGTCATGGGTACACTGTCCTAGGTGGTCCCATACTAAGACGAAATAGCTGTTCGGGTTTCAGACGCTTTTCTAACTGATGGCAATCCATGATGAAGACCAACCAGTAATCAATCTATCGGCTCAAGGAGGCACTGCAACCATTATTATTTTGGTATCACCACCACCTCCCTATAAATCCTCAGTGTAAAGTTTATCATAGTGCCTGCCTATTTACTTAGCACAAATATGTAACAATAATTCAATTGCCTGAGACTTTTGTGACATTATAGCAACAGACAACAAACTTTTGTTATTGCCACAAGAAGTTAATGACGGTGACATAAATATCTTTTTTTATCTTTCTTTCAAGGAACGAATACGAAACTATAGTGTTTGATGTTATTGCTTGTGAATCTCTGTCGTTGACTAGACTGAATTGATCGGTAGCTATAAGCATAGTGGCTCCTGCGCGAATACCATAATACTGTCGGTTTCTTAAAATTTGATATTAGTGATCGATAGTGGCTAGCGGTAGAATTCAGGACACGGGTTTTATCCTATTTTGGACTTAGTGGCTGGATGTAGATGCCTCTTAGTGAGTGATATTGTCCGCGCTAAGACTCGGACCAAGGACGGGTCGCTTAAAACATCAGAGTTTAATCTAGTAGTTCATTGAGTCACGTTACCCACTCCCTGTATGATGGGTATAGTATAGTCGTTGATGTTACGGCTTGCAAAGCTGCCATCAATACAAAACCATGGTTTTCTTCGTTTTGTGATCCCGTTTATCTATGTTCTAACAGAATTGTATTAAGATATCAACTTATTTTATTGCTGTTTACTAATCATTCGTTTATTGGTTATTATTCATTTTAACTAATGCTTTGCAGGGATTTGTTGATTTGAAAGTAGTTTTCACATCGGAATATTAAATAAGTTGAAGACAAAAGTAAGAAATAATGGATCATTCAGTTTCAGTCCAGTTGCTGGATAGCAACACACTCATCGTGATACTCGACGGCCCTAGGCTCGAGCGCTTGCTGGGTTGTGTTTGTGCGCTCTCGAAGAGTGCAGAACTAGAAACAAACAGATGTTCAGTGCTTCCAGGTCTTTAATGGTTCTCCAACCTGTTTCACTCCAAAACTGTTACTTATTTATGGTTAAACAAATACGTTCCTATAAATTTACAGTAAATAATTATCACTTCTCCTCATCTTCTCTTAACACTTTTCTGTAGAGCGGTTTATTTGGGTGTTTTGAGGAAACCAATAGTACTAAGGGCGTGTGTGGTGAAAACGGAAAAAGTAAATTGTGGTGGGGTGTCGATTTCATCTACCAACGGCTGCATAAATACATTCAAATGATCAAAACAGAACAAATAGAAGAGTCATGCAGGTTATTGTTCAATCCAAATTTCAGGAATTTAACAAGTTATATCAATGGAAACCAGTATTATTTCAAAATGCATCTACCTCAGTTACTACAAATATTTGTACGCTACCTACAAAACTTTTGGCCTTATTACTTACAGGTATTCAAAACGTTATCTAACTAAACCTTTTAGTTTAGAATGAAACAACATTTAATGACTCTCAGATAAATGACCTAAGACTTGCCTTCAATGTTTATTCACCAGTTTACTAAACGACCATGTCCAAATTACGGAATTTTGTGGACTTCAGTTCTTCAATCAATGTAGTCTCGGGTGGTGATTTACAACCAGTCACATTCCTTCTCTTAGTTAGCTTCAATGTGTATACATCTAGCTTTGAAACTACAGTCATCGTTTGCAAAGAATTATTTCTTTCTCATTCAGATGATAATCAGCCTTGACATTTTGATAAATAAACCGACTCTTACATCTATTTGTCAGCTAAGTTTCACAGGTGAGACGGTAATACACCATATAGGTAACTCAAAGGTTTTGGTTCGAATTTTTTCATTGCTGGACTTTTTACCTTCAATCATTATGCTAGCAGGTAGAAGTAATAAAGTCAACTACAAAAAGCATTGCTTACCACAGAAGTCGCGTGTACCAGAAGATGGAGTCTAGAAGCGACCAAATCAGGCCACATAGAAAATGGGATTACTTTTCTGCCAACTTGATACCATGTATTTTACCATAGAAATATTAGCCTATTCGTTATACATAAAAGATGAATATATATATATATATATATATATATATATATATATATATATATATATTTCAGGAAATTATTTTCCCTCTTCTCATTACCATTAATTGTGTCTAAATCTTGGTTTTCCAAATAGCACTTGTGACCTGAAAAGTGTATATTCGAAGTGTTTTGATTTTCAACATTTAGTTATGCTAATTATATTCTCCTTATTCAACAACTTATTGGTGTGCAAGTCTCGATTATTAGTTTCAGAAAAATTATCATCTCTCACATAATTACAGTGACATATAAGAAACAAAGATAAAATAGTTCACATAATGGTGGTGATATAAGTTTAAAACTAAAAATGGTGACGCCCACTATACTAGCTTATTTTTGGCAAAGCTGAACTGACAATAATGTCTTGAGTGACTCGGAAACATTTGCCGACTAAACTCATAACTACAATAACAATAAAAAACAGTTGAATGAGAAGCACTTTGATTATTTTTATGAGCTATTAACTCTAAAATAAATGTGATCTTGTAGTAAACACGAGTTTGTACATTGTTACATGCTAAGAGTAAATCAGCAGAAAGCCATGAACTTAGTCTTCGTGCTTGTTGGCTTTCATCATTTAGGTTTACCTACAACCATTAGAATGCTGTTATTCCCTCGTTTATTCTAACCTGCAGTAGTTATTGTCGAAGTCAGAATCTTTGTCACTAAGCTAGTAAAGTTGACTGTATAACAAGATATTCAGTTCTACAACATATTTAGTTCATTGCTTCAGATTCTTAACATTTCAAGCTCGGCTGTAGGTTAAGTATTTTCTAACCCCTTTAGGTTCGGGCAGCTATCTGCTGTCTTAAACAAGATTTATACCTCCCAGTCAATCAGGATGCTATGTGTGTTTCTATTACCTTGTTAAATCTTCGACACATGTACTGCTTTTCATTTTATGACACAACTATCACCTTACCATCCACTACCTTCCTTTGTGCTTCCCCGCAAAATCTAACATTTCTTCCACCATCACTTTGACCTAGATGACATGTAAATTTGTATTTAAAGATGATGAAGTATTTATCTATGCCCCTTATTCAACATTTCGTTGCTATAGTTTTTTTTCCGATTTTCATACCAGAGCTTTGAAGAACAGTCAAGAATGAAGTGCCAGGCAAGTTATGCCACAACTGAAACTGCTGAATCTTCATAAATGAAATTTTACCAGGAAAATGTATTGCAATTTTCTACAGCTGACAAGATCATGTGCCTTTTTAAACTTTTTCAAGACCCAGTCACAAATTTTTATGAACTTATAAATAGTTTTAAAAACTACTAAATCATCAGTTACTTCATAGAACACTTTTCTTTTTACTTCACATCTATCAGAAAATACTTTATTAGAAATTTTGAAAATGATGTCTTACTTCAACCTCCTTATTAAAAGCTAAATTTCTTCAGTTTACAACGAAACTAGTTATCACTCCTCATAGATCTCAATGATTATTCAGCATGAAATATGCGCTGATTTAATTCATGTTAGTTTGGGAGTAACAATTTTGAAAGAATGCTGTACTTACATGTTTAACGTTCTGTGCGCACAGTTCCAATATAAATGCTGTGAAGTACATTCATGAAGTTACTGATCAAGACCTAGACTGCATTCTGTACACAAACGTTGACTTAATCATACGTAAATCTGTTTCCATCTTAGTCACCTAACTAACACAGAAAAGGAGAAAAATATTCAATTTGGAAAAAGGCTTTGAGTTTCTCACTGTGAACGCTGATTGACTGTTATTATAAACAACGTTCATAAGTGATGGATAGTGGCTAGTAGTGGAATCTAAGATGCACGGTCCATCCTATTTGGGACTTGTCAGCGATGTCTCACGTCTGAGTCTTAGTGAGAACACTGGGAGGTAGGTACACTCAGCTGACAAGTCCCAAATAGGACAAAGCTTGCATCCTGGATCCCATTGCCAGCCACTATCCATTATCATTATAAAATTGAAACGCGAAAAACATGAAGGCATCCGCGCAGGAGCCCATAAGCCAACGAAGACTGACTAAATTTGGCCTGATTAACGATGGGATGACACAAGTTACTACATTAAAAATTTTATAAATCATACGACTAAGAGCATACTAAAGGCTTTAATGCACCCAATGTGATCACCAAAAATGAGATACAATAAAGCATACCCAAAAACAAAACATGCATCGGTTCAAGTTACCAAACTTCACAGCAGTATGCAATCAAGAAATGAAAAGGAAAAGAGTGATTTCAAAGTAAAAAAAAGTCATGTGAGGGAATAAGCAATATGCAGATGAAGTTAGTTACTCAGTGCGAACATTCGAGAACTAGAAGACATCAAAGAGGGAATCCAAATGCATCAATCTTACCGAATTTAGGCCATATCACCAAGAGTACTCAACCGCCGATACCATGAATCTGAAAGACAGAAGAAAATCAGTCTACATCTCCCCGCACAACACAGAAAAAAAGTCACAGACTAGTGCCACAACATTTCATCTCTCCATGCTTACCCCTCTCCCAACCTAATCCAGCATCCCGCAGCACGCCACATCCAGGTGTGTGGTTGCTCGGCATGCTCAGTACATGACAAGTCCAAGCCACCTCAGTCGACTGGGGTTGACAACCTCATCAACTGACTTGCCTGTTTCGCCGAATACTATTCGCGTGAACACAAGTTAGCTCATAAACTGACTACAAAGAATTCAATTAATGCTACGAAGAACTCTGGAATGAAAAACCTATCAACCGCTTCATATCTCACACCTTCAACGGTCATGTTCAACAACAGCACAACAGAACTGAACGAACTGTAGAATAGTGTACTTCTAATTTGATAGACACTCAGATATCTCACTAGTCGGCGCAACAGATGATCCAGTTTCGCAAATGACAAACAGACCTTCTGCATCTGAGCTGAGATTTCGTAAGCAATCAGTCCGTTCGGGCTGATACAACTCCACAAGTAAGTGAAGTGGTAGACACATTACCCCGCTTCACTCCCTATCATTAAACTGAGAGTACCTGCAGCATAATAGTCCGAGAACACCACCTCACATTTGGCAGATGAGAAACGCATGCCAAACGTACTCAGATTTCTGTTCAATGCGTTCAGAAAACCCTGCAGTTTGTTAGTACTCGCCCAGGAGGACAATATCCTCTGCTTATCCCAAGTCAACCAGACGGTCACCAGACAGTAGGCCAATCCCCGTGAAGTCAAGTATACCTAGGATTATGTCCATCAGAGCGTCTATACCAAAGTTAAATAGCAACGGCGACAGTACGCACCTTTAGCGGATACCACTAGCTCTCGTCAATTATGATGGCAACTCTCCACAAGCTGTTTAGCGGATATGTGAGTTCGAGTGCAGACTTATGATAAGTACTATATACTCGCTTCATACTTCCTTAACAGTCAGACACTGTCACTACACCTCATGGTTGACTAAGTCAAATGCTGCCCACAGGTCGACGAATACGCCGATTTTCAACTGCCGGTAAGTATTTCTGTGTTCCAGAACCAGTCGGAGGGTAAAAATGTGATCGATTCACCCTCGTCTAGCGCTGTCTGAACACGCCTGGTTTTCTCGAGTTCACAGTTCTCACACTTCTGTTGGGCGTCGAATAACTTTGGATCCTAGGACCTTGGCCATAATATTAGTCAAACTAATTCCTATATAGCTGTCACAGAAAGATATCTCTCCCTTCTCATTGACTAGGATAGCCAGAGAAGTAGACCAGTCTGACGATACTACATCTGATTCTCATATACCACCTATTACCTCCATCACTTTAAACACCAGCCTCCTACCTTCATCCTCAAAAACGTTAGGTGACAAGCTTTTAGGTCCTGATGCTTTGGATCATTTCACGTTTGATACAGCCTTCTCAACTTCAGGGAGAGTTGGGAGACCAACATCCATGTCCTATTCAGGTTCATGTTGGATGTTCGGCAACTGAAGCCTAGCTGTGGACCAGTCGGACTGAACTTCATAGTTCCGCCAAACGTTCAACCAGTCTATTCTGGGAGGTTTTCCACGATGATGACGGTGACGGCTTCAATAACCATCGTTTCGCTCTAGCCGGTATCTCTAATCAGCCTAAAACATTCACGAGTGTTACCCACCGCTGACCCCTACTCCAGCTCCCTCACTAGCACCACCCACTACTGCTCGCGGTCATTACGATGACTCTTCATCAATTTATGTTTAAGTTGCTTTCACTCTTCACTGTGATCAGAGCTAGTTGGAATGAGTCTTCTCGCATCAGTCAGTATCAATGACTAGAAATGAGGTTTAGATCGTTCGCAACGGTCGTAGAGTGAGATGTTCAGGAAGATGTAAGAGGCTTACTATTAGTATCAAGAGGTGAAGTCAAAAGAGGAAAATATGTTGATTTTCATTGGGCCTTGTGTATTACGGGAAGAGTGCAGGCAGTTGACAGTTCTCAGATGCCAACGACGTGGAAGGCTATTCTCTCATAAGGTACCGCAAACGAGAAAAGATTTGTGTGTGTGTGTGTGTGTATGTGAAATCCACTTGAGGCCTGTCACATATGGCCTTTTGCAGGCTGTTGTTTTGAGGTTGGCTGTTCCAACGTCGGAGAGAAGACCTGTACCAACGGCATCAGAACATCACCGGCCAAGTGAGTGTGCTAGTTTAAGGGTCGACGTTTTCTGACCCACCGTTACCATACGGAGGAGAGCACTGACGTGGCACTGTTGGTCATCCAAAAGAAACACCTTACTGATGTCACACCCCATCCGGTCAGCAGCTGTCTAACTTTCTCCTTAGACCCGCATAACAGTGTTGCACTTCATATCATAATGGCAACTACTTTTCGTCTTGCCAATATCCAACAGACCTTTCTGACATGGCAGGACCTCGAGGGTAAAAGCGTCCCACCAGCATAGCTCAAAGGGTCATCGTGACTGCGAGCCAAACCATAACGTCAGAGTAGTAGCTATCGTCCAGATTCACTGAGTCGATAATGCAGTGATTTTTGATTTGATATATGGTACTGACTGGGTTAAGAGTGTACCATCAAAATCTGCAAATTACACCTGTCTAACTTGAAGTTGCTCGCTAAGCACGCCATAGTTATTCATGGATAATCAGTCCTCTGTTATAAGATTGACACTACTGCAGATGCATACGCATCTGCATTTAGTGGGCTTTCAGTTGAGCGAACGTGAGTGTATCACCGAAGCTTTGCCTTACCATTACCTAATTTAGTCTGAGATAAATTCCGTAGTTAGGAAGGACAACATTATTTAGTCACTAACATCCGATCAGAATGCTCGGTGCAGTGTCCAAGATCTTAAATTTATTTGTCTTGCGCTTTCTATTAAACAACGTTTTGCTCTTTTTGTTGACGTGAATGAAAATAAACGGAAGTGGTTAAGGAAAATTTGTTTGAGAAATTCACTGCCACTGTGTACTACACAACAATAGTGGTACAGCTGTAAGATGTGTGAACAAATTTTTCGAGTTCAGAAGAAAGACTGGTCCTGCACAGACGATGGTAATCCAGCTTCTATCCTCGTAAATAAAGAGATTGAATTACTTTTTTGCTTATATTTGTTTTACTGATGTTTCATTGATGCAAGATTTATATGCAGATATACATCTGAAGTTGATAGCGAATTAATACGAAGCCGTAAAAGTTAAAGCGAATTAATCTACTATCATAAACCCTTAAAAATATTAAGTGACACCTTTAAATATTTTGAAATGTCAATACGATGCTAAGTGTATCTTCTAAAACGTCCAATTTAGTTACATCCACGTACTTCAGACGATGAAAAAAAGTATTCTCAATAAGCAGGAACTAAAGATATAACACACCTAATTTACATAACTTGAGAAAGGAACTTTATATTATTTTATATGTACCAGACAGACGGAAACAAAACGCAAAAAAGTTCTACATGACTTAGTCTTATTTTTGTCAATAAGCACAATCCGAACCACTTTTCAAAAGGCGTAGTGAGAAGTAAGCTATATTGAAGTTAAGAGAATGAAACGCAAAGAACACAGAGAAACTGAGTTTCCTTGTGATTGCCTTCCAGTAACTAACCAATGTATCTAATTCAACGCTACTGGAAGTCGGTTCCGGTTTGAGTAAACCAGTGGTGACGTCTCACACTTCACTGCTGGTTTATACGAGTTCGAGTG